ACCAGCCCTACAAAAGATTCTTAAAGATGTCCTACACATAGAAAACCAACAAGACCACAATAAAGGCCAAGAAACTGCACCCAAACTGAGAATCCAAGAACCATAGGAAGAACCCAGTTTTCGCAGCCCCCAAGAAGGTAGATAACATGGCAGGAACTCCCAAATACCTCTCAGTCCTATCTCTTAATGTTAACGGACTGAACTCTCCAATTAAGCGACATAGACTGTCTAGTTGGATTAAAAAACAAGACCCTTCTATCTGCTGCCTGCAGGAGTCACATCTTGCCCGTAAAAACAAACACATTTTCAATGTTAAAGGCTGGAACAAAATCTACCAAGCAAACGGACCGCATAAACAGGCGGGAGTTGCAATCCTAATATCAGATAAAATAGACTTCAAATTAAAATTCGTGAAAAGAGATAAAGAAGGTCACTAAATACTAATTAAAGGATCTCTCCTTCAGGAGGATATTACAATTCTAAATATCTATTCGCCAAACAATGGAGCACCCAAATTTATCAAAGAAACACTACTTTCCCTCAAATCCCATATAGATCCAAAGACATTAATAGTTGGGGATTTTAACACACCACTCTCCCCACTAGATAGATCAACTCGGCAAAAACTCAACAGAGAAACTGCAGATCTAAACAGCTGCATAGATCAACTAGACTTAACAGACATTTACCAAACATTTCACCCAGCAGCATCAGAATACACGTTTTTCTCAGCAGCACATGGAACGTTTTCTAAAATAGACCACATTTTAGGCCACAAAGAAAACTTGTCTAAATTCAGAAACATTGAAATTATACCTTGCATTCTCTCTGACCACAAGGGAATAAAATTAGAACTCAACACCAAAAGCCACCAAAGAAAGTCCGGTATCAAATGGAGGCTGAACAACACACTGCTGAATCATGAGTGGGTCATGGAAGAGATTAGAAAGGAAATTCAAATGTTCATGCTATTCAACAAAAATGAACACACAAATTACCAGCTCCTCTGGGACACAGCAAAGGCAGTACTCAGAGGCAAGTTTATAGCTCTGAGCTCCTACATCAACAAATTGGAGAGATCTGAAACTAGCAATTTAATGACGCATCTAAACCTCCTTGAAAAAGAGCAGCAAGATAAACCCCAATCCCGTAGACGGAAAGAAATAATCAAAATTAAATCAGAATTAAATGAATTAGAATCAAAAAAAACTATAGAAAGAATCAACAAAACAAAGAGTTGGTTCTTCGAAAAACTTAACAAAATTGACAGACCCTTAGCAAATCTTATCAGAAAAAGAAGAGAACACACCCAAATTAATAAACTCAGAGATGAGAATGGAAACATCACCACGGAAACAACCAAGATTCAGAACATTATAAGGGAATACTTCTCAAAACTGTATGCTAATAAGTTTGAGAACTTGACAGAAATGGACCTCTTCCTAGCAAATATTGACATGCCAAAACTAAACCAAGATGAGGCAAACTATCTTAACAGGCCCATATCAAGCATTGAAATAGAAACAGCAATAAGAGACCTCCCAGCTAAGAAAAGTCCAGGGCCAGATGGTTTCACAGCGGAATTTTACAAGGCCTTCAAAGCAGAGCTCACACCAATTCTCCTCCAACTCTTCAATGAAATTGAAAGAGAAAGCTCACTACCGAACACATTCTATGAAGCCATCATAACCCTCATCCCAAAACCAGGCAGGGACTCATCAAAGAAAGAGAACTATAGACCCATTTCTTTGATGAACATTGATGCAAAACTTCTCAACAAAATTTTGGCCAACCGACTTCAACAATTCATCAAAAAATCATACACCACGATCAAACAGGATTCTTTTCAGGGATGCAAAGCTGGTTCAATATACGCAAATCAATTAATATTATTCATCACATCAACAGGAGCAAGAATAAGAACCACATGGTTATCTCAATAGACGCAGAAAAAGCATTCGACAAGATCCAACACCCCTTTATGATGAAGGTTTTGGAAAAATTAGGAATCCATGGAACATTCCTCAGTACAATAAAGGCTGTATATGACAAACCTACAGCCAGCATTCTACTCAATGGTGAAAAACTAAAGCCATTTCCTCTTAACTCAGGAACAAGACAAGGATGCCCACTCTCTCCACTACTCTTCAATCTAGTGTTAGAATGCCTAGCTACAGCAATAAGACAAGATGCAGACATAAAGGGGATCCAAATAGGGAAAGAAGAAATAAAACTCTCCCTCTTTGCAGATGACATGATCTTGTATTTAAAGAATCCCATAGACTCCACTCCCAAATTACTTAAGCTGATTCAAAACTTTGGCAAAGTAGCAGGTTATAAAATTAACCCCCAAAAATCCATGGCTTTTCTGTATGCCAACAATGAGAAAAGTGTGGCTGAAATTAGGAAAGCAACTCCATTTGTAATAGCCCCACAAAAAATAAAATACCTAGGAATTAACTTAACTAAAGAAGTGAAGGACCTCTATGATGAAAACTTTAAAATCTTGAAAAAGGAAATCAACACAGAACTTAAAAAATGGCAAAACCTCCCATGCTCCTGGATTGGAAAGATTAACATCGTGAAAATGGCAATACTTCCCAAGGCTATCTACAAATTCAACGCAATACCTATCAAAATTCCACCCTCATTCTTCAAGGAAATAGAAGAGGCAATCCAAAAATTCATATGGAACAATAAAAGACCCCGAATAGTAAAAACTCTCCTCAACGGAAAGAACACTGCTGGAGGAATATCAATACCAAATTTCAAACTCTACTATAAAGCCATAGTAATCAAAACAGCTTGGTATTGGCATAAGAACAGACCTCAGGACCAATGGAATAGAATTGAAAACCCAGAAATGAACCTACAGACCTATAGCCATCTAATCTTCGATAAGGGAGCTAAAACAATAGAATGGAAGACAGACAGCCTCTTCAGTAAATGGTGCTGGCAAAACTGGTTAACTACATGTAGAAAACTAAAGCTAGATCCTTATATATCACCCTGCACCAGAATCAACTCCAAATGGATCAAAGACCTTGAACTCAAAGCAGACACTCTGAAAACATTACAGGATGGAATAGGAGAAACCCTGGGTCTCCTTGGCTCAGGCTGAAATTTTCTGAATAGAGACCCGGAAACACAACAAATCAAAGAAAGGTTGGACAAATGGGATTGTATAAGGTTGCAGAGCTTCTGCAGGGCAAATGACATAGCTAGCAAGATCAATAGAAAGCCCACGGATTGGGAGAAGATCTTTACTAGCCATACAACGGACAAGGGTCTCATATCTAAAATATACTTGGAACTCAAAAAATTAAACCACCCAACAACAAATCCTCAAAGAAACAACTGCCCAATAAGTAAGTGGGCGAAAGACCTAAAGAGAAGCTTCTCTGAAGAAGAAAGAAGGATGGCCAATAGACACATGAAGAAATGTTCAACATCCCTAGCCATAAAAGAAATGCAAATCAAAACAACATTGAGATATCACCTCACTCCAGTTAGAACAGCAAAAATCAAGAACTCTAACAACAACAGATGCTGGAGGGGATGTGGACAGAAAGGAACCTTACTTCATTGTTGGTGGGAATGTAAACTTGTTCAACCACTTTGGAAAGCAGTATGGAGGTTCCTCAAAAGACTCCATATAGAGCTCCCCAATGACCCAGCAATCCCACTTTTGGGCATTTACCCAAATGACCACAAACAAGGCCACACTAAAGCTACCAGCACAACTATGTTTATTGCAGCATTATTTACCATAGCTAAGATATGGAACCAACCCAGATGCCCCTCAGTAGATGAATGGATCAAGAAGATGTGGTATATATACACAATGGAATTCTATGCCTCCATCAGAAAGAATGACATTGCCCCATTTGTTAGGAAATGGAAAGGCTTGGAAAAAATTATATTAAGTGAAGTAAGCCAGGCCCAAAGAAACAAAGGTCCCATGGTTTCCCTTATTTGCAATATCTAGTATAGGTATGAGTCAAGCGGAAAAAGTCAGAGAATGTGATGTTAGGAAAACGAACCCTCAAATATGTAATTTAATGTTTTTGTTTCATTCATGCATGTGTTTCTAACGCATTTATAATATTATTTCTTTGTTGCTTTGTATGTCCCTCCCCCACAGTGTAACCCCCGCTTTCACTATATTTGATGTCAGTATAACATGTGGAGGAGATGGGGACAAACAAGTCGTTTAAGGATTCAGGTGGACCTGTTGCAACAATGAGAACTACAAAATGTCATGTCAAAACCAGCTTTACAATGTCGGTGGGGGGGAGGGAGGGGGGGTATGATTGGGTGGGGGGGAGGGGGGAGGCTGGGATGGAGGTGAAGGGTAAACAAAGGAGGAGGCTGCAATGCTTGGTAAGAAATGTATGCATTTTCCTGCCCATGTAATTGTAACCCCTCTGTACAGTATGTTTTCAAATAAAATAAAATAAAATAAAATAAAAATTTCTAGAACTAAGTTTCCAGTGGACAAGTCTTCTCTGACACAAAGAAATTAAACAGAAAGAAGCTTTGATCCTCCAAGGGATCATTGGTATGATCAAACCACAGGAACAATTTGGTGATCCCCTTCTGTAGCTAGAACTTATTCTTTTACATGAATTGTGTCCCCTGAAATTCAGAATGTATGCAGTTGCTGAGATGAGGCAACTGGACAGCTGTGTTTAGCCCTGCCCAAATGCTGTTGATTTGCATGTACCAGCAGCACTGCCCACAACAATCAGGCTTCTTCACAGGCTGCTCACACTGTGCAGCATTCAGTCCCAGTCAGCACACATCATGGACATGAGGACCCCTGCTCAGCTCCTGGGGCTTCTGCTGCTCTGGCTCCCAGGTAAGGAAGGACAATTCTAAGGATTAACATAGCTCCATGTTACCCACGGTGCTTTACTTTTCAGGGAAGGCTTGCTAAAACTCGATTGATAGTGTGGATATTTATTTCCATGTCTCTGCTGCCAGGTGCCCCGTCTGACATCCAGATGACTCAGTCTCCCTCATCATTGTCTGTGTCTCTAGGAGACACTGCCACCATCACTTGCAGGGCCAGCGAGGACATTGGGTATGCTTTAGCCTGGCACCAGCAGCAACCGGGGAAAGCTCCAACATCTCTGATATATAGCGCAGATAGTTTAGAATCTGGAGTTCCACCAAGGTTCAGTGGCAGTGGGCATGGGACAGAGTTCACTCTCACCATCAGCAGCCTGCAGCCTGAAGATGTTGCCACTTATTACTGTCAACAAGTTTTCAGTACTCCTTCCACAGTGATACAAGTCATAACAAAAACCTCCCAGAGAAGCAAAGTGTGAGGCTGGGCTACCCAGCTGATCCTTCTACTCCCTCCACCTGGTCAGAAGGTTCTCAGACACAGGTAGTTTACACTTGAAGAATATGAATTGTGGCATCATTTAGTATTTATGGAAGAATAAAACAATTAGCTGGATATTTTAAGCAGGAATTGTCTTTAATAAAAAGAACAGATTTATTGCTTCAGATTTTATTCATTCATTTTCTGATATAATATTTCATTAACATACATATGCACTTATTAATGGTATTCTAGGATTCTCCATATATATCATTTATATGCATTGATCTTCCACTTTTCTTTTGTGTTCAATCTCCTGACATCTGCCCCTGTGCCCTTTCCAGCCCCACAGAATCACGCTTCTATTTTATTTTTTTCAGTTTGCTTGAGTAAGATACAGTATACATATGGTATTTGTTTTGACTATTTTTTAAAAAGATGTGCTCTAGTTCCATACATTTTGCTGCAGATTGTAGGATTTCCTGATTCCTTATGCTTGTCATATGTATATAACATATATATATATATATATATATGTATATATATATATATATATATAGTCATATATATATGGACCACTTTGTCTCTACTTTCACATCTCTTGTAGGGTACTTCACTGAATTGAATTTTTCACTAGTATGAACAGTTTCACAATAAATAAAGGCATGCAGAAACACCTTTATAAACGTCACGTTGTATAATGGCTTTTTTTTCTTTTGCATAAACACCTAGGAGCTAGGTGGCCAAATCATCTGGTAAGTCTATTTTTATATTTTTAGTAACCTCTTACAGTCATCCATACTGGAACTGATACTTCTGTCCCTACCAACTGAGCTAGCCTAGTGTTGAAAATTTATTTCAAGGGAGATGGGAATGATGTGTATTCTCCCTTTCTCTTACTCTATTGGATTATGCATTTGTCTGTTCTGTTCTAACTGGTCCATAACTGGTCCATAGGAATAAACTATGAGTGTGCCAAAGTCCTGTAGTTAAAACTTTACATTTCATGTATTAAAGATAGACCTAGGAAAACCTAGAAGATGGACATTTATTAAGGAAAATCACCCAAAAGCAAATATGGGTCCCATGACAATTTTCAATAGTCAGGTTAAACTCATTAGTACATCAGTAGTAATCTCAAGCACATTACTTTCTTTAAAAGTCTTTAAATAAAATACAGTTTTGGGGTCCACCATTATAAATAAGGCCCTAGATTACATTTGAGATTTCTGGAAGAGAACCACTAAGTGGTTTTTGGTTTCCACAGCATTTGAATTGAGATGAGCAACTTTTGTTGGTAAAGAAAATGTTTGATGTTTATTATGCAGGCATTCCTTTCTCCTGCTGTTTTCCAAAATATGAGTTTATATGTGACCAAGTATGCATTGCATTTTCATCCAAGATTAAAAGTGTGGATTGGGGTAGAAATAACACTTGCAGCCAGACATAAACAGATGGATCCTGAAGAGATAAACATGGAGATATAGTCCACACAGAGAAAGGCTGGAGCCTCAGACATCAGGGGCCCTTCCACAGGCTGATTAACCTTGGTCTCATTGGACCTGGTTCTAGAACTTTTGCAGGAATCTACCCCTTAAGATTTCCCAACAGTGTTAATTATTTGACATTCCAGAATGTGCACTTTTCTGCTTGCTATTCATATTTATAAGCAGCAGCAAGAGTACCATTCAACCCAGGAGCCTGGGAAGCCAGTTTACTCCAAGAGTGTCATCTAAACCTCCTTTATGTTGGGAATCACCATATTATCTCAATGGACCTGCCAGAAGAAGCCAATATTCATGGCCCTACTTGGTCAACCTCTGTGACTTTATTTAAAAAACCATGGAATGAGGTCATCATTCATATTTTAATACGTGTTTTATCCACTTCTGTCACAATCAATATCACTACAAATGCCAAATAGCTGATCCGTCTTAGTCCAAGGTATGATGCTCTGCACTTTTATTAAATTAGTAGATATCTAGAGAATGTCCTAGATTCCATATTTTAGTAAACTTTTACCCCAGCAAATGCAATATTTTAAGAAAAGATGTTTGATATGAAAAGCAGAATAGCTAATATCTATGTACATATGACCATATAAGATGATGTTAAGCAAAATAAACTCCAAGATATGGAAACAAGAGGTTTTCCTTTGTTGTTGTTTTTAATGTACTATGTGATTTCTTTTTTCTTTTGTGTTTTTTCTTATGGTTTATCCCCTGTTGTCATTGTATTTGCTTTTGGTACCCTAGATATTGTATGTAGGTATATCTGAGTTAGAGAAGGGAAGGGGAAACAACAAAATGGTGAGACGAAGGACAAAGGGAAAACCAATAAAATAGTGATACAAGACAATATATTGGAAATGGACTGTATAACTTGGGGAGGGGATTGGTAGGGAGAAAAAATTGGAGAAAAATAGGAAGTGGATAACATATGTAATTGTAATCCCACTGTACATCACTTTGACAATAAAATTAAATTTAAAAAGAAAAAGGGGAAAAAAAAGAAAAGATGTTGGCAACATACTAAGTTTTTGGCTAATTAACACTAATATACTAATAATAACAGTAATAAACTAATTTTTGTTCTTGGATGCTAAAGTTCAAATTCATAATTATTTCTAAATAGCATTATCCAATTCCTTGAAAGCATAATAGAATAAAGATTTATTATTATTATTATATTATTATTTTATCATTATTTATTATTATATTTATTATTATATTGATAAACTATTAAGACAAAATAATTGAGTCCTTTCTGTTCTTGGAATATTTCAATACAAACTTGTTGCCATAGCTTGATTACATGATAGTGTATATGATCTTAAATGGTCATTTCCTTTTTTTGTCTCTTTTCCAGATCTAACAAATCCACATGCTGGAGACTAGACCAGTGACCGGCAACAAAAGCAAGAAGCTGTGTCCTTCCTGGATTGGGCAAATCATTGCAATTGTGAACTTCTCTAAGCACTAACATAAATTATATGATGTTTGGAAGAATTTGATACATACCATTGTTTTGAAATTCTGACTATCAATGCAAGATATGTATAAATACAGATGCATATTTATGAAAACTGATTTGCATAACTACAAATAATTGAAATAATTGTGAAGAGAAAGAATGCAGAGACAAATATAAAAGTATGTAAATAAATAGAATACAATTACTTCTATCAAGGAAACTTAGAATAGGAACAGATAATTTGCATGTAATTCATGCACATCAATAAATATCAGAGGAACAGCAAAGGGAATTGCATATAGCATGTGATATTAGTGATGGCAAGAAGGCGCACATTAATATTCACATTAAAAGCTAAAAAGTATATTTATACATATAGATTTGTATGAAGTTCTCAATTGCCTGCAGCCTTGCGTCCGTCCACCTGTCTCTGGGAATGCACATCTTAGAGTTTGGACTCCTCTAGGAGGCCTTCATTCATCATATTCACAGGAACCCAGAAAGGGAAAGGGATGCTTAGAAATGTACTTCCTGACGATACTGTGTAACAGAAGTTCAGAGCTGACCACCTTTGAGTGTATATGGCCCAACTCTCAGGAAGCATTGGCCAAGAACATTTCCACATTGATTCCAAATGTCATCAGTAAGTTGCAATCAAATTAAGAAGTTTCATTAAATCACTGGCCAATGAAAAAATAAACTTTTTGCAAAAAATGTGTAAGAAACTCTTCACAAACAAAATTCTTTCTGACAAATAAAAAGCAAACTCAACTAAACATGGATGCAGCATTATTTTTTTCTTATTCACTTTATCCAGAATTCTACAGCATCATCAACACTGAGAGCATGTTGCAAATGTAAAATTATAAATCACCTCAGATCCAGTGAAGGTGAGTCTTTACTTCAGCAAGTTATCAGGTGATCTTTGTTAGGTTTAAGAAATTTTGCCAGAAATTGGTGGCTTACAACTTAGCTACTTAGGAAACAACAGCGATCTAAGGATCAAATCTAGCCTAGGCAGGAATTTCTCTTAACTTCCACCAAAAATCTGGAATTATGCACATGAAAATCTATGCCACATGTTAAAAGGCACTGGTGCTGCTAAAGACAACCCAAGGCAGTGTGATGGGATTCTGGGATGAAAAGAAAAACAATAGGAAAAAAACAGAGACATAGACAGATAGAGAGATAAGGGGGAAGCCCAATGGTCCCAAGGCCCACCTGCACTTGAACCCCAAATGCCCACTGAAAGCATATTTATTTGAATTCACACAAGGAATGTTACCATGGAAACATGCAAAAGTAAAGCATCTATATTAATATTACAATTAATATTACAAAGCAGCATTTGTAAGAGACACTGATCCCCTTATTCTATTGAAACATGAGACTGAAGCCCAAGGGAAAGTCCAGACATGAAGTCTACTTATCTAACCCAAGGTTAAGTTGTCAAGGTCTTTAGTCTAACTTACAAGGTCCCCAGCATAGCTGCCAGCCTAAGGAAAAGGGAGTAGGCAGCCTTCCAGTCTCAACCCTCTTCAGAATTGTCTGTTTTATCCCTTCCATGGCCAGCTCTAAGCGATCTTAGTCCTGTGGAGACAGTATTCCAACATTTCAAAACTTTTCCAGGTTTCACAGCTCCAAGTTCCCTATAAACTGATATTTTCACTGATATTTTCCTTGCTATTGTTTCTCTGGTACTGAGATTTGAACTCAAAACTGCACAAGTGCTCTTCCATTTCAGCTAAACATCCAAATCTTTTCACTTTAGGTTTGTGTGTGTGTGTGTGTGTGTGTGTGTGTGTGTGTGTGTGTGTTTGTGTGTGTTTTCTTCCATAGGTTTTTGTGGTTTTGATTGTCTGTGTCCCATGCCCAGACATTAGTTCAGTCATTAAAATTTTCTTCTGTTCCACACTAGAAAAGATGGCTGATGTAGGAATATGCAGGTTTATGGAGCAGAGTAATCTGAAGTAGACTTTAGCTCTTAGGTAAGGGAATATCCCAGTTCCTGAAGGTGAACTGAAAGAT